AAAGCTGGAAAGCTGTCTCATCTGAAAATAGGGTTTTCCCCCAATTATCATTAAGATGATTTTGTGCCCACTCTACATGACATTCTTTATGCCTTATTGTTAGCATTGGGGTGACTCTTGGCAAATTTTTCTTATATCCAATCCCTTCCAAATGCCTTAAAACTGTTACATATGAGACCTCTATTCCTTTATTTAACATTTTATTAGCCAAAGACCTCAAAGAAATAGAAGAATCTCTACGAATATATTGTCCAATTGCATGCAATGCTTCCGCAATAATTTTCTTTTTTCTACCATTACCCCCTTTATGTTCCATGTTACCATTTTTTTTCAACTTTTCAATATTAAAATAAATAGTTGAGAGTGGGATGTTTGTAATATTATGTAATTGACAAGCAGAACATATCCCCTGATTCCAATAATATAATAAGGTTGTACATTGCTGTTCTTTTGTATATTGTGTCATTTTATTAGCAAATTACACAAAAAATTTTTATTCAATTTGGTTAAAAGATAATACAGACTAAATCTAATAAAGAAAGGCTTTGTTTTGAATTTTATTTGATGTGGATCAGACTGTTTTTGGTAAAGTTATTAAATTTTTTTTGTAACACACTGTAAATAGTTATTTAGAATTAGTAATTAGTTGATAAGCATATTATTGGAGAGTAGAGTAGCACACATCACTAAGGCTCCAAACAGATCAGATCTAGAGGTTGGAATCAACTAAAATAGTTGACTAATTTAGTCAACTAACTTTTTTTTTAAACAACTAATGGTTGACTAATACTAATTATTATTATTGTCTGGCCAATTATAAATGAAAACATTTTTTGTGGTACAAAAAAATTTAAAAATAAAATAATGGAAAATAATAAAAATAAATATGCAGAGTATCAATATTATGAAGAAGATGATAATGGTGGTGTTGGTGCTGGCATTGGTGATAATTATCCATGCAAAATAATAAACATTGATACAAGGTCAAATCATTCCAACAATTCATTGGCTTCAAGCTCAAGCAGTGGTTCCAGACCTTTAAAAAAACAAATTATAACATATAGCTTCGTATGGAATTATTTTGAGAAAATTAAAGATTCAAATGGAGATAAATTTGTAATCTGCAAATTAAAAAAAAATGTTAATAATAATGAAACAGAATGAATATTCTAATTAAATAGGATGTTATTCCTGTGACTAGTGTGTGACCATTTTGCAAAGCAAATGGTTACATGCTAGTATTAAAAAAATTTAGTCGACTAAAAGAAATTTTGACCAACTAGTAGTCGACTAAGGATTTTTTGGATGATTCCAACCTCTAGAAAGTATAAATTCAAATTTTATTTTAAAAATAATAGAATTATTTAAAACAAATTTTTAAGCATTTTATTTCTTGTTTTAGTAGAAATTATTACTTCATATTCATCATTGGCTTCACAACTTTTTTTCAAAATCTGTAGAATCATGTAATAATTGTTGGTTTTCTTCTGGTTGTTGAAATGCTTCTTCATTTACTATTTCTGAAAATAATTCCTCATTCATTGATTCTTGAACTAATCCTAATGTATCATAATCTAATTCATTACTATAATCACTGTAATCTCCGCCACTTTCCTCATCTATATCCTCATCCATTTTATCATTGTCTTCTAAAAAAAAATTATTTTCCAAATCCATAATATCATGAATTTCTAAATCTGTCAAATTAATTTCATCATCAACATAATTATTACTTTCATCATTATTACCTTTCATCTTCATTATCTGAAATGGCTTCTGCTTCAACCAACATACTCTTTAAATCCTTTTCTGTTAAAGTTTGACCAGTATATAAGGCTCCGAACGAAACGAAACGAAACGAAACGAATTTGAGAGTGATTCGATTCAATTCAATTCGATCTGTAGTCAATTCGATTCGATTCGAATTCAAAAAAACAGGATTCGATTCGATTCGAATCAAACTGGATTCCTAAATTTTTTTTAACGTCATATTAAATTTATATTACACAGCGAATCTCAATTAGTGTGCCTCAATTTAATGAATACTAATGGATTGAGATCTAAGAATGGTTTAATGGTAATAAAATTCTTCTTGATATGACATTTATTCGAATTTTTAATAATAACGGATTTGATATGGTCGTGTGACCTATATTATTAATATTAATAATGAGTAAAAAAATAACACGATTTTTTTTTTACAGCGGTCGCGTTTACTTTGTCGAAAATTATTTCTTCGACAATCATTTCGTCGACACCCATTTCGTCGAAAGTTTGTTCCATCGAATGTTCATTTCGTCGAAAATTATTTCATCCTCGAGCCAGAGACCGAACGAGTTAGATGTGAGGAGTGTGGGAAGTTAATTAAGAAATTAGGTGAGGAAAGCGGAGTGTGTGGGAAGTGTGAGGAGAAATTTGTTTAATGAAGTTTTTTTTTTTTGTGACGAAATAATTTTCGACGAAATAAGCTTTCGACGAAACAAATTTTCGACGAAATGAACTTTCGACGAAATGAACTTTCGACGAAATGAACTTTCGACGAAATGAACTTTCGATGAAACAAACTTTCGACGAAACAAACTTTCGACGAAATGGGTGACGACGAAATGACTGTCGACGAAATGATTGTCGACAGCCAGTTGTCATAGGATAAAAATTAATACAAGTCCATTTTCAACACATATCCAATCATTTAGTTAAAAAAATTACAAAGTTATTACAAAAAAAACTTATAAAGTCCCAAGTAGTTTTATAACAAATATAATAAATAAATTGGCACTTTACATCAATTGTTTTAAGAAATATTAGTGGCTTTAACTTGGATTATTCAAATATCAGAAAGCTTCAGGTTTCTAATTCAAAATTTATACTAATTTCATGAATTAATAAATATTAAGAAATTACTATTAAACTGATGAATATACAGTAACAGTATATAACAAATTCAAGGATTTGTAATTCAGTACAATTTTGCAAGCAAATAAATAAAAGTATTTCATTTTTTGATGAACTTGCCTCTATTAACAAGTGCTACTTATTATTTATATATCAATATTGTATGACTTATCTATTCTTTATTTTTTTGATATTATTATCTTGTACATGTATTTTACAAGAAAAATTATTATTATTATTTTTATCTAATATATATATTTATTAATCCTTCTATCTATTATTATTTAGTGACAGACCCATTAGTAAGAAGTTGTTGACTTTCTTCTTGCCAAGGACCATCATCAGTAAATTTGCAACCATTTTTACAATTACATTTTCCACCAAAAGCAACTGGTAAATTTTCAGCTGGAATGTTTTCCAATAAAGTTTGTTGATACTTGCTATTTAAAATTATAATCTTGGCAGCTGTAACCTCATCAAGCAATGGTTTTACTAAACTCCAAACAGAAGCGAAGAGCATTGGAGCATTAATAATATAAAATTTACCCATACGTTCAGGATAATAATTTTGACCAATGTTAGATGCTTGTTTCACAAATCCGAAAACATTAGAGAATGATCGAATAGAAACACCTTTAAGATCCAAAATTGTACATGTTGTCTCAATAAGTTTACCATGTTTAAATGAACAAGCTGGTAGTCTAATATCAGCAAGTTTCTCATACTCGACCACCAAATTTTGAATCTGTCGTTCAATTGTGGTAACTTGATATAAAGATTTGATATCAACTCTACCAATTTCTTCAATATAAATAGGTCGACCATCGTTATCAGTTTTGTGATAATATCTTGGATAATGTTTCATCACTTCTTCACGTTCCTTATAATCAAATGTCCTGACCAACTCATCAACACCAAATTCTTTTCTCCAATTCTCACAGTCGATAAACATTTTTTTGGTTTTAATCAAATCGAATTTTCTTGCTCTTAAAAACCTGAGTAAATAAGCATCATCATGTCGCTTCTCATCAAACACACCTTCATCTTTAAGTTCTTGCCGAAACTGTTCTAATATTTCTGTTTGTTGTGGATTTAAATTTTCAAGATGTCCTGTAAATTTTTGTATTTGCACTTCGGTATTGACTGATGGCGGCATTTTTTTAAAAAAATTGTAAATAAAAATGATTTTTGATTATATTAATTTTTTTTAAAAAAAAATCGGGAATTTATGGTAATATTTATAAATTTATCAATAATTTTTTTAAAGGGTATATATAATTATATTTTTTTATATAAAAAGAATGAAAAAAATATTTTTTAAATGAATTTTTAAATTTTTTATGATCAATGTTCGCTTTGTTCCTACAAACTATTTATTTATAAATAAATTTTGATACAAACAAAAATTTCGAAAGGTTACACGGCACAAATTTTATTTGTTGTTGTTTATTATGTTTATTATGTTTGTTATTACATTAACAACACGAATCATTTACACGGACGGAATGATGATCAGATTTTGTTCTCTAATTACCTACAACAGGTTTTTTTATATCAATCAAGGAATTATAACTAAAAGAAACATCGCCATTGTCCTCTCACCAAAAAATATCATCATCTATTTTATCATCCCAACATAAATTATTATTACCACCAATACCACCTTCCACCACCACATCCTCTTCAAACCTAAATCAAACACGGCGTGAACTTTAATCATCCAATTGAAGGAAGAAAAATGAAAAAATTTTTAGAATAATTTTCAACAGATAAGATTTAAGTTATTTCTAATATTTCGATGAAAACTTGATATTAAATATATTCCGTCGTAAAATAAATCAATATGATTTTAACGAAAAAACTAATTGTGATTTTGTGAAAGTAACACGTACATATTCACAGTCATTCATTGTATTAACAAATTAAGAAAAAGAATTTCCATTATTCTTATAACTAGAAAGTCACCACAGTACAGTTCACGGGCCATTTGGCTTAGGAAAAAAATATTTGTTATAGAGAAAATCCGTTATAGATAATAATAATTTATATATGGGCTTAAATTCAGTCCGTCATAGAGCAAGTTTCATTATATAGAAAGCGAACTGTATTCATGTATTAAGTATAGATAGATTACACAAATTTTAACATAAAAATTTAAAAATAGAAAAGTGTTATTATTATGATCTGTAATGTGTGCCTTCGGGACCAGTGATTATAAAAAAGTATATATAAATATATAGAATAAAAAAGATTCTAAATTTCCTGGAGTTGCTTGAAAAAAAATCTCTATTTTCTTAAATTATTTTCGTCAAATTCCAAAAACATTATTATTAGTTATAATAACTTCTGGTTCACCAACATTTTCCTATCCATTATTTACATTGTATATTTCATCTAAGATCATTCAAACTATTTCATCATCATCTAAAGGTTCTTTTGTTAAACTTGATTCATTATATAATTGCTCGCTTTTGGAAAAAAACGACCATTTCATTTAAGTTCAAATAATTTTGGATATACAGTAATTTCGGCAGTTATTAAAATTCATTACGGCTAATAATCTTGGAATTTCAGCTTCGTAAATGATCATATATTAATATTAAGAGGGCAAATTCATTAATACAATATATCCAAGATTTGATTGATTTAATGATTCAATTATTGATTTAATCGGTTGCAATTGTTTCTCCATTGGTTTTTGATAAAATTAACAATTATATTTTGTTTTACAGCATCTCACGCTTCAATTGCTTCTTTTATTATATATAAATTTTAATAAAAAAGCCAAATAAAGCCAACTTTTCAAAAAAAAAATTTTTCTCAATTTAAATTGTCTGATAAGATCACGAATATACACTTGTTTGCTATTAGCTTAAAATAATAATTAAATTTATTTGATTAAATTTATAATATCAAATATATTTTAGGCTGTAAATGAGCAGTTGTATTTAATGGCAAAAATAAATTTCTAAAAATTTCAATGTAATAACTTTTTCTTGAATAAAGAAATAATAACAAGTTTCAACTTGATAAACACAAACCAAACTCTAAACCATTTGCTGGTAAAAGGCTTATTTAGTCTGATCCACTTCATTGCCGTCAATTATTTCATTCTCTCGCTCATAATTGGTGGCATCTGTAAAACATTGCATGTAAAAATCTTATTATAAATAAATTTGTGTAACAATATCAAAAAATTTCTTTAGAAACCAATGGCAGTTCTAATCGTGGTAGACAATTTACAGGTGTATGGAGACAATCTATTCAAGTTCAAAAAAAGAGGAAAACAAAAGTATGTTCTGAATGTAAAATTAAAAAAATCAAGAGAGTAGAATACAATATCTGAAAAAGAAGAAATTGAAAAAAAAGGACATATGGCGATTTCTATCCAAGCGAGGGAAAATTGTGTATGGATTATCAACTAAAGTACTTTACCCATGCTGCAGAATATACTGTAAAGAAGCATCATTCTCATTGAAGAATTCCTAACAATGTATTGCATGAAATTGGGTCTATTTATTTTTTTATTGCTTTAATTATTATTTATTGGTATTTTATTGGTAACTAACTACCTTTAGAATTAATTCAGTTAAATAAAATTTTCAAATCGTTTATTTTTAAAGTAAACCATGATAACGTGACATATTAATTAATATCAATGAACTTTATTAGTGGCTTTAAACTAACGATTTTGTTTTTTTGGTCTTACATTTCCATTTTGGAGGAAATTACAGGATATGTAATGCGTGCGACTAGGATATATTGATAATACAAAGGAAATAACCCTTCTCGAAAGGATATATATATTAAACCGATTATATCAAAAATGAGCCAATAAAACTATAAAAGATTGGTAGACGAAGTTCAGAAACTAGCAGTCAGTCACCTTTTACAACGACTATTCGTAGAAACTGTAGTAGTAAGTATCAACATTTCAACGAAGCTCGATAACGTGGAGGTCCTGACTTTACTCTGAATTGCTAACCCTTCGCCACGATGCATTATTTTATTTTAGTATTTGGTTTTGTATTTGCATTCATCATTTACAGTTATTCAACCCTATTAATGTTTGTTACGTCATATTCTGGACAACTATATTGCTGGTCTTAGTCATTTAGTTATTTGGAGCTTTGATTTTTTTGACAGCAGCTACAATATCGATGATAATTTTCACAAAAACATCTCCAACAGTAAGCATTTTGTTTTCTTTATCAGGAATTATGCTTATATATAAAGATCTCTTCCAGTTTCAAGTTTTGAAGGATTCACATCAAATTTTATCCAAAGCATCAGATGAATCGGAAATCAATTCACGAAAGAAAATCCTATTAATATTAATTGCGTGCAGCAAAAAAATCTTGATTTTCAAATTTTTTTAATGACCAAATAAATGAAAATGTTTATAATAATGGGAAATTTCGGCTCGAAATGCGAATTGTTCAACTTTAGCCATTTTTTTTAAATGCATGTTATTTATTTACAAAGAAATTTTTTTAAAAGTTCCATCGTTTATTTTAGATTTTATAATCATCAAAAATATGGGAAATCGCTTCGGGTCAATTACTTCATATTCAAAATTTAGTCCTGGTCCATGCAATGCATGCATCAGCATAGTGGAAGTTTGTTGTTACACGAAATGTCATACAGAACTCATTGCTCCTGAAACTTTACCAGTATATAGTTGTTACCTCTCTAAATTGGATATCAAGTTCAGATCCAATTCAAATCCAGTTTATCACTTACTTTTTATTGCCAGAATGTTTGCCGTGTATTGTAAAGCTACGTTGCACAATATAAAAAATTAGTGTGACATTTCAAATTTCCACTATGCTGTTTGAATTTTGTTTATTTTTTACATCTATTTGATCAGCAAAAAATCCCCATTAAATCATGGTGCCGTATTTTTGTTACAATGATCGACACATTTTGCCATCCATTTCTATCTGATATACCGTGTAACCGAACTCTACCCTTAACAATAAAAAAATTTTTTTTGTGTTACGAAATTTTTCTCCACTATTAGCAATAACAAACAATATTAACATTAATCAAACAAACTCGCTGCAACCTTATCAAAAGCTTCAAAAAAAAATTTAGGTAATTTTTGACGTCTATAGATGATTTGCACCATATGTATCCATTTTTGTACTAGAGTTTTAAATTTTTCTTGATTTTTTGCCACATAACTATACTCTTAAAAATTTCTAAAAAATTTCTATCTAATGCAAAACGGATAATATCGGCCAAATACAGACTATCGGATTATCTTTTTCTATCTGATAAAATTCTTATTTGTTTTTAATCCGATTTAAGAATTTCTGTAAACTCCTGTACAACTTTTTTTTTTTATCTCTTATCTATGTCGATGAGATCAATTTGATATCTTATCTCCACGTTATGTTTGTTAGCTTTTCAGATAAAATAAAATAAAATTGAAGTATATATTTTGTTTTATCTGTTTCATTCGTCTCATCTCTCTTGTTAAATTTCATTATTTCTCATTCCACTTAAGTTTTATTATTTGTCATTTTTTTTTAAAAAAAAATATGGATGCAAATATAGGAAGCCTTATTACTAATAAAATTGAAGTTGTTGAAATAGATTCCCGAGATGAAAATACTCCGGATAATTGGGTTCCGCGTCATCCTGAGATGGTAAGGTTAACCGGTAAACACCCCTTTAATGCTGAATCCCCATTATCCTTATTATTGAAGCAAGGTTTCATCACCCCAACTCCATTACATTACGTACGAAATCATGGGCCTGTTCCTAAACTTTCTTGGGACACTCATCGTTTAATAGTTGATGGGTAACAAAATTTAATAATATCTTTTTTATCATTTTATTCAATAATTTTTTAGTATCTAAAATATCATGTTTTCCTCTTCATCTATCTTATATGCTTTTTTTAGCCTTGTAAAAAATCCTTTAAATTTGTCCATGGATGACATTGCAAGTCTCCCTTATTTGGAATTTCCCCTGACTATGGTTTGTGCCGGAAATCGTAGAAAAGAACAAAATATGATTAAACAAACTATTGGTTTCAATTGGGGGGCAGCTGCAGTCAGCAATGCAATCTGGAAAGGAGTACCATTACGTCACATTCTAGAATTGGCTGGAGTTAAATACGATCCTAAGCAACCTCGTTATGTATGT